ATTAAATAGATTTAAATTTAATTTTATTTGAAAAAATATATATATATATATACATTATAATTATATTTGAATATATTATAGCCTAGATGTAATTGTTTACAATTTTTAATAATTTTGTATATAATTAAATATAATTTAATAAAGCCAAGTAATTTTTTTAATGGTTTGTGTGTGTGATTAGATAAAATTTGAATTATAGTGTTATATGGCCCATATGGTAATCCAAGATTAACTCATAATCTACATAACATAGCGCTCATGTGCACATAACTGAATCTCAGTGCAGATTTCTCAAATATTTATGGGCTATATGTACGAATGTATTTCTCATACCATTTCTGCAGTATACAGTATATATTTTTCTATGCATAAAATACTAGGAAGACCTACTACACAATGCAGTGTGCCTGACTTGACCTCTCATTTCCAGTGGAATTGCAATTTAAATCTATTTCTTGACTCCCAATTTGATTGGACTGCCAAAATAATGACATTTTGACTAAAAATTGTATTAAAAATAAAACAAAAACTCTTTGATACTGCCATTAGCTGCATCAAACATGCACTTAATGAAACCACAGTGTTGCATAATTCACTTTAAATTACTCCAGACTATTTTACATACTATTTTTAAACAACAGTAGCACATCATATGTGTTCGCAGGTGTCACTCTCAGCAAGTCATTTCCTCCTCAAGCTCCACCCTCTCTCTGGCATCCTCAGGGTCCCACAGCTTGCCACACCCACAGAACATCACCATGGCAACAGCCCAGGAATGAGATTTGGAACTACCATGATCCCACCCCCGTAATGGATAAACAATAGTCAATCTTTCCTAAATAGACCAAGGAAGACGGGGAGAGATGAACCATCCGTCATTATTAACCAAGACTGGAGCGAAGATGAAAACCTGTCCGCGATCTGATGAAGCAGGACAAACATTGAACGCAGGACTAGACCCACCAACTCATCAGGACCAATTAAACAATCAATACTATAAAAATGATTCGCCCTTTCTCTCTCTCTTGCTCTCTGCTCCTCAGGACAGTGAAGACACTTTGCTAACTGCCATCAACAGCACTGAATAGCTTTGCCTCACCTGACACCTGAGGCTAGGTTAAACTAGTTATTTTCATTCATTTTGCTGCTTCCAAAAACCGTCGGTCAACCTCAGTGTTTACGTACTGAACTGCACGGGTCCGATCCAGGAGTAGAGCCACACACACCTCGAATGATGGAAGCCAAAAGGACAGGGCTTTGTGATCGCTCACCCTGAGCTTTCAAGACGAGAGCTGAGAGGGACGTCTCTCTTTCTATCTGCATGTCTTATTTTACGTGTGTGTCTTTGTGATTCTGATCAGGGCTCTGGACGGGAGGCGGCTGATTGGCTGGAGGAAGGATCTACAGGGTTCCCACAGGCTCATGGAAAACCTGGAAATGTCAGGGAATTTGAAAATATAAATATACACACACACACAATATAACATAATTAAATATAAACATGAAAACAGAATTGTAAAAAAAATTGTATTGTAAAACAATGACAACAGCTGTCATAAAATTGTATAAAAAATGATGTATATATATATATATATACACACACACACACACACATTCAAATGGGGTCAGTAAGTTTTTTTTAATTTTCAGTGATATTGAAATGCAAGGCTGCATTTATTTGATCAAAAATACTGTAAAAGCAGAACTATTTTGAAATATTATTACAATTTAAATGAACTGTTTTATATTTAAATATGTTTTAAAACTTCATTTATTGCTGTGATGCAAAGCTGAATTTTCAGCATCATTACCCCTGTCTTCAGTGTCACATGATCCTTCAGAAATCATTCTAATAGGCTGATTTACTGCTCACGTTTGAACAATGTAATGCAACCTTGCTGAATAAAAGTATTCATTTCATTTCTTTAACCTACAGGTTTAAAAGGTGTGGGAACCCTGGCTCTAGAAGAACTTGTGCTCTAGAACGGTCTGTATAGAGAGATCAGAGCATGTACTGTATGAGCTGGGCTTTGCTTAGACTTTTAAATCGCTGCACTAACTTCAAGCAATGAGATGGCATCGACAAAAACAATCACTCACATACACTCACACACATATGCCTTGCCTACTTGATTTCCTCAAAGCAGCAGCCATGATCTCCAGCTGAAAGCCCCTCTCCTGTAATTATGAACATATGTGGAGTTCAGTTATGTACAGGAGATCAGCGTGTTCACGTGTGTCAGACCTGTGTGTTATTGATTATGGAGCTGCTCTCACTGGATGGAATTAAAGGAGCAGTTCTCTGGCAAAAGATGATTGTGTTTGAGAACGTTTCTATCTTCGCAGGTAACACTGCATCAGTGGGTCTGATTTAAAGGTCCATGCACACGAAGCACGATTAATAACTTATTACACTCTAAAAAATGCTGGGTTAAATACAACCCA